ACTTTTTTGTAGATCTTATTGAGATACATGTGTGTGTCAATTTTTGTGTCAATATGACAAAGCGTAAAGGCGTGACAGTCAATAGTGTGAATTTTCACCTTAGGGGGCGCTATGGAGCCATTTTGCATTTTCTTGTTTGGGCGACTTCGGAATATCAAATTTTTCACCAGGCCCGGTCATCCTGCCAAATTTCATGAGTTTTCGCCAGTGGGAAGTGGGCCATTTTCCAGTTCAAAGGGGAGGAAAAAGAAGAAACTAGGGCCCCGTTGGGGCACTGGCGGGCCCGAGCCGTGTCACGCCGCCCACAGCGCGACCGCCTCCCCCACCCGATCGCGTCACACTCAAGGTCCAAAGATGGTGTGCGCACTTGTTTGTGGTCATTTACCATTATAATGAACGGGAGGCGCAGTTTCTACCAAAGCGCTCGCTGCAGAAAAACTCCATGTCCTATTTGAAAAAAGTCTGGACCATGAGTGAGGGCACAAACACAGCTAAGATATATCCAAATGGCAAGTTGCTCCTCCTTTCGCTTTTGCCGAGAGAGCAGTGCGTTTGAGCCATTGAATGATGAACAGGAAAAACTTGACTTTATTCTCCTGCCATGGGGGGGCGCTCTTTTAACGAGAAAAAACTCCTTCACAAATGTGTTGATGGCTGGACATTGCATCATCCTAGAAAACATGGAGGCCAGTGAGGACAAAAATAAAAAGTTATAAGACTTTTAAATATGTGGATTTTACGGTTATCTTTGGCGCCCCCTAGAACCTAAACCGTGGGGTGCAGCGTCATGATTTGAATAACTTTAAATGGCCATGGGGTGTAGATTGGCCTGAGCAAATGTGGTGCCGGTGGAACAAAAGCCTTCGGAGGAGTTAGCGAAATTCCAATGTGTGCGAATCGGCAAAAAATGCAAAATAACCCTTTAACCGTACATTTTACAGATACGTGGCCATTGACTTTTTCGAAGATCTTATTGAAATACACGTGTATGTAAAATTTTGTGTCAATACGACAAAACATACAGGCGTAGCACTCAACAATGTGTATTTTCACCTTAGTGGACAAGAAAAAATGGACTTTTTTCTCCTGCCATGGGGGGGCGCTCTTTTGGGGAGTAAAAATTCCTTCACAAATGTGTTGATGGCTGGACATTGCATCATCCTAGAAAACTTGGAGGCCAGTGGGGACAAAAATAAAAAGTTATAAGACTTTTAAATATGTGGATTTTACGGTTATCTTTGGCGCCCCCTAGAACCTAAACCGTGGGGTGCAGCGTCATGATTTGAATAACTTTTAATGGCCATGGGGTGTAGATTGGCCTGAGCAAATGTGGTGCCGGTGGAACGAAAGCCTTCGGAGGAGTTAGCGAAATTCCAATGTGTGCGAATCTGCAAAAAATGCAAAATAACCCTTTAACCGTACATTTTACAGATACGTGGCCATTGACTTTTTCGAAGATCTTATTGAAATACACGTGTATGTAAAATTTTGTGTCAATACGACAAAACATACAGGCGTAGCACTCAACAATGTGTATTTTCACCTTAGTGGACAAGAAAAAATGGACTTTTTTCTCCTGCCATGGGGGGGCGCTCTTTTGGGGAGTAAAAATTCCTTCACAAATGTGTTGATGGCTGGACATTGCATCATCCTAGAAAACTTGGAGGCCAGTGGGGACAAAAATAAAATGTTATAAGACTTTTAAATATGTGGATTTTACGGTTATCTTTGGCGCCCCCTAGAACCTAAACCGTGGGGTGCAGCGTCATGATTTGAATAACTTTTAATGGCCATGGGGTGTAGATTGGCCTGAGCAAATGTGGTGCCGGTGGAACGAAAGCCTTCGGAGGAGTTAGCGAAATTCCAATGTGTGCGGATCGGCAAAAAATGCGGAATAACCCTTTAACCGTACATGTAACAGATACGTGCGCATTGACTTTTTCGTAGATCTTATTGAGATACATGTGTGTGTCAATTTTTGTGTCATTTTGCCAAAGCGTACAGGTGTTACACTCAACAATGTGTATTTTCACCTTAGAGGACAAGAAAAAATGGACTTTTTTCTCCTGCCATGGGGGGGCGCTCTTTTGGGGAGTAAAAATTCCTTCACAAATGTGTTGATGGCTGGACATTGCATCATCCTAGAAAACTTGGAGGCCAGTGAGGGCAAAAATAAAAAGTTATAAGACTTTTAAATATGTGGATCTTAGGGTTATCTTTGGCGCCCCCTAGAACCTAAACCGTGGGGTGCAGCGTCATGATTTGAATAACTTTTAATGGCCATGGGGTGTAGATTGGCCTGAGCAAATGTGGTGCCGGTGGAACGAAAGCCTTCGGAGGAGTTAGCGAAATTCCAATGTGTGCGGATCGGCAAAAAATGCGAAATAACCCTTTAACCGTACATTTGACAGATACGCCCGCACTGACTTTTTTGTAGATCTTATTGAGATACATGTGTGTGTCAATTTTTGTGTCATTTTGACAAAGCGTACCGGCGTGACAGTCAATAGTGTGAATTTTCACCTTAGGGGGCGCTATGGAGCCATTTTGCATTTTCTTGTTTTGGCGACTTCGGAATATCAAATTTTTCACCAGGCCCGGTCGTCCTGCCAAATTTCATGAGTTTTCGCCAGTGGGAAGTGGGCCATTTTCCAGTTCAAAGGGGAGGAAAAATAATAATAATAATAATAACAAAAGAAGGAAACTACAGGAACAAGAGGGCTCTCGCAGCTGCTTAGCAGCTACGCTCGGGCCCTAAGAACTAGGGCCCCGTTGGGGCACTGGCGGGCCCGAGCCGTGTCGCGCCGCCCCCAGCGCGACCGCCTACCCCTCCCGATCGCGTCACACTCAAGGTCCAAAGATGGTGTGCGCACTTGTCTGTGGTCATTTACCATTATAATGAATGGGAGGCGCAGTTTCTACCAAAACGCTCGCTGCAGACAAACTCCATGTCCTTTTTGAAAAAAGTCTGGACCGTGAGTGAGGGCACAAACACAGCTAGGAAATATTCAAATGGCAAATTGCTTCTCCTTTCGCTTTTGCCGAGAGAGCAGTGCGTTTGAGCCATTGAACGATGAACAGGAAAAACTTGACTTTATTCTCCTGCCATGGGGGGGGGGGCACTCTTTTAACGAGAAAAAACTCCTTCACAAATGTGTTGATGGCTGGACATTGCATCATCCTAGAAAACATGGAGGCCAGTGGGGACAACAATAAAAAGTTATAAGACTTTTAAATATGTGGATTTTAGGGTTATCTTTGGCGCCCCCTAGAACCTAAACCGTGGGGTGCAGCGTCATGATTTGAATAACTTTTAATGGCCATGGGGTGTAGATTGGCCTGAGCAAATGTGGTGCCGGTGGAACGAAAGCCTTCGGAGGAGTTAGCGAAATTCCAATGTGTGCGGATCTGCAAAAAATGCGAGATAACCCTTTAACCGTACATTTTACAGATACGTGGCCATTGACTTTTTCGAAGATCTTATTGAAATACACGTGTATGTAAAATTTTGTGTCAATACGACAAAACATACAGGCATAGCACTCAACAATGTGTATTTTCACCTTAGTGGACAAGAAAAAATGGACTTTTTTCTCCTGCCATGGGGGGGCGCTCTTTTGGCGAGTAAAAATTCCTTCACAAATGTGTTGATGGCTGGACATTGCATCATCCTAGAAAACTTGGAGGCTAGTGAGGACAAAAATGAAAAGTTATAAGACTTTTAAAAATGTGGATTTTTGGGTTATTTTTGGCGCCCCCTAGAACGTAAACCGTGGGGTGCAGCGTCATGATTTGAATAACTTTTAATGGCCATGGGGTGTAGATTGGCCTGAGCAAATGTGGTGCCGGTGGAACGAAAGCCTTCGGAGGAGTTAGCGAAATTCCAATGTGTGCGGATCGGCAAAAAATGCGAAATAACCCTTTAACCGTACATTTTACAGATACGCGCTCTTTGACTTTTTCGAAGATCTTATTGAAATACACGAGTATGTCAAATTTTGTGTCATTTTGACAAAGCGTACAGGTGTGACACTCTACAATGTGTATTTTCACCTTAGGGGACAAGAAAAAATGGACTTTTTTCTCCTGCCATGGGGGGGCGCTCTTTTGGGGAGTAAAAATTCCTTCACAAATGTGTTGATGGCTGGACATTGCATCATCCTAGAAAACTTGGAGGACAGTGAGGGCAAAAATAAAAAGTTATAAGACTTTTAAATATGTGGATTTTAGGGTTATCTTTGGCGCCCCCTAGAACCTAAACCGTGGGGTGCAGCGTCATGATTTGAATAACTTTTAATGGCCATGGGGTGTAGATTGGCCTGAGCAAATGTGGTGCCGGTGGAACGAAAGTCTTCGGAGGAGTTAGCGAAATTCCAATGTGTGCGGATGGGCAAAAAATGCGAAATAACCCTTTAACCGTACATTTGACAGATACGCCCGCACTGACTTTTTTGTAGATCTTATTGAGATACATGTGTGTGTCAATTTTTGTGTCATTTTGACAAAGCGTACAGGCGTGACAGTGAATAGTGTGAATTTTCACCTTAGGGGGCGCTATGGAGCCATTTTACATTTTCTTGTTTGGGCGACTTCGGAATATCAAATTTTTCACCAGGCCCGGTCGTCCTGCCAAATTTCATGAGTTTTCGCCAGTGGGAAGTGGGCCATTTTCCAGTTCAAAGGGGAGGAAAAATAATAACTAGGGCCCCGGCGGGGCACTGTCGGGCCCGAGCCGCGTCGCGCCGCCCCCAGCGCGACCGCCTCCCCCTCCCGATCGCGTCACACTCAAGGTCCAAAGATGGTGTGCGCACTTGTCTGTGGTCATTTCCCATTATAATGAATGGGAGGCGCAGTTTCTACCAAAACACTCGCTGCAGACAAACTACATGTCCTATTTGAAAAAAGTCTGGACCATGAGTGAGGGCACAAAAACAGCTAGGATATATCCAAATGGCAAGTTGCTCCTCCTTACGGTGTTGCCGGGAGAGCGATGCGATTGAGCCATTGACCGATGGGCAGGGTTAACTTGACTTTTTCTCCTGCCTTGGGGGGGGGGGATGTGGATTCTTTTAAGAATGTGGATATTTGGGTCATCTTTGGCGCCCCCTAGAACGTAAACCGTAGGGAGCAGCGTCATGATTTCTACAACTTTGAATGGCCATGGGATGTAGATCGGCTTGAGCAAATTTGGTGTTGGTGGGACGAAAGCCTTAGGAGGAGTTAGCCACATTCCAATGTGTGCGAATCGGCAAAAAATGCAAAATAGCCCTTTAACCGTACATTTTACAGATACGTGCCCATTGACTTTTTCGTAGATCTTATTGAGATACACGTGTGTGTCAAATTTTGTGTCATTTTGACAAAGCGTATAGGCGTGACAGTCAACAATGTGTTTTTTCACCTTAGGGGACAAGAAAAAAATGGAATTTTTTCTCCTGCCATGGGGGGGCGCACTTTTGGGGAGTAAAAATTCCTTTACAAATGTGTTGATGGCTGGACATTGCATCATCCTAGAAAACTTGGAGGCCAGTGAGGACAAAAATAAAAAGTTATAACACTTTTAAGAATATGGATATTTGGGTCATCTTTGGCGCCCCCTAGAACGTAAACCGTGGGGTGCAGAGTCATGATTTTTACAACTTTGAATGGGCATGGGGTGTAGATTGCCCTGAGCAAATTTGGTGTCAGTGGGACGAAAGCTGTAGGACGAGTTAGCCACATTCCAATGTGTGCGAATCAGCAAAAAATGCAAAATAGCCCTTTAACCGTACATTTTACAGATACGTGCCCATTGACTTTTTCGTAGATCTTATTGAGATACATGTGTGTGTCAATTTTTGTGTCAATATGACAAAGCGTACAGGCGTGACAGTCAACAATGTGTATTTTCACCTTAGGGGACAAGAAAAAATGGACTTTTTTCTCCTGCCATGTGGGGGCGCTCTTTTGGGGAGTAAAAATTCCTTCACAAATGTGTTGATGGCTGGACATTGCATCATCCTAGAGAATTTGGAGGCCAGTGAGGAAAAAAATAAAAAGTTATAAGACTTTTAAGAATGTGGATTTTTTGGTTATCTTTGGCGCCCCCTAGAACCTAAACCGTGGGGTGCAGCGTCATGATTTGTACAACTTTCGATGGCCATGGGGTGTAGATTGGCCTGAGCAAATGTGGTGCCGGTGGAACGAAAGCCTTCGGAGGAGTTAGCGAAATTTCAATGTGTGCGGATCGGCAAAAAATGCGAAATAACCCTTTAACCGTACATTTGACAGATACGCCCGCACTGACTTTTTTGTAGATCTTATTGAGATACATGTGTGTGTCAATTTTTGTGTCAATATGACAAAGCGTACAGGCGTGACAGTCAACAGTGTGAATTTCCACCTTAGGGGGCGCTATGGAGCCATTTTGCATTTTATTGTTTGGGCGACTTCAGAATATCGAATTTTTCACCAGGCCCGGTCGTCCTGCCAAATTTCATGAGTTTTCGCCAGTGGGAAGTGGGCCATTTTCCAGTTTAAAGCGGAGGAAAAATAATAATAATAATAATAACTAGGACCCCGTTGGGGCACTGGCGGGCCCGAGCTGTGTCGCGTCCCCCCCCCAACGCGCTGCCTCCCCGTCCCATTTGTGTCCTCTGGCCATCGCCCTCTCTGGTAACGCCCATCACTGCAAAGACCCTTTTCCTTCATCGGCGTTTGCTGTTCTTCCTGCCAGTGCTTTTTGCTTTCACTTACACTTGCCACAGCCAGCCTCGTGAGTGCCTAGCCTATTGGATATTACTGTCACCTACACAGGACAGTCATTACCTTTCTATTAATACTTTGTTTTTTAATTTCACATTAATTTCCATATTGTATAAACAACTGGAAAAAACTTGAGCCCCTGCCCCTGTATAATCATGTGCACGTCTCTGTTCTAGCTCTAAGGTGAATCTTCACTGCTCATGTTCTCCTCAGAAGCAGTCACCTCACTCCCCTCAGGTTACTGTACACATGCACCAACTGCCTGCTTCAGGTTTGGATGGAGCTTCATGGTTGTCTTTTGGAGAAATGACCAGTCAAGTTGTGTTTGAAATTTGATTTTTTTCAGGGGCAAAAGGAGCCTCTGCATTCTTGTCAAATATGTAAATAGCATGTTTTTGCAGGTGCTAAAAACCAGACTCTGAGTGTGTGTGTGTGCGTGTGTGTGTGTGTCTGTGTGTGTGTGTGTGTGCGTTCAAGTCACATGACATATTTAACCGGATGTAGCTGCAAGACGGAGCCTCGTTGACTCTCCGTTTCAATTTATCTCAAAAGTGAGGACCTCAACCTATATACCAGTTTTTAAATTGTGTTGATAGGCCAAATAAAACCAGAGTTATGATAAATTATGTCCGCGATACTTGTTTTCTGCTTATTTTGATCACGTTCGGCGCTCGATCGCGCTGTATGAGACAGGAAAACATAGCATGCAGACATTAGCGACAGGTCTTACAGGCGGAAAAGGCTTGCCAAAGGAAAAAAAAAACACACCACAACATCTCTCCTATTGGTGGAAAACTTCACCACAACAACCAATCCAAAATTATATGGTGACTGATTGACAAGGGGCGGGAACTTACGTTCTTCCTGCAATATGAGAAGGGAGGGAGGGACTCTCAGCAGGGATGCAGTCTGGGACACGTAGTTGCAAACCTAGCGACTTTGTTGTTAGATTCAATGACTTTTCAGACCCCCTAACGACTTTTTTTTAGAAAGAAAGTGACTTTTATCGACTTCTTCTGGAGTTTAGAGACTCTGACATGAAGCAGGCTTTCCTTACTGAGGAGTTAGCAACGCTGCTAAGGGTGCAGAGCCACACATGCGCTCCGAGCTCTGCATGGGAGACTGAAGCTGACAGAGCTGCAGCAGTTAGCAGGTTTCACCCTCAGAGACCACCAGGGGTTCATGTTGAGGCATTTTAAAAAATTTTTTTGTGTGCCATAGACACTGTCAGCACAATCTGCAGTTACACTAACAAAAATGCTGCAAAAAACAAAGAATTATGGAAAAATTACACATGGACTGACATAGAGGAGGATCTACACAAGTTTTTTACATCATGTTTTACATCATGCATCATTTACATCATGTTTTTTTGTAGTGGCATAAATAAAAAGTGACATTTGTGAGACTATACAGTGTTTTGTAAATAATTTTACAAAGAACGCCTGGGCCATTGCCTGCATTTTGATGAAAATAGAGGTAAATCACTATGTTCTTTGTTTAAAATTTGCATATGTTTTGAAGTTTACAATTTTTATTTGAAGTTTAAGTTTTAAAAACAGTTCATCACACATATTTGTGGTTTAATTTCACATTAATTTCCATATTATATAAATGACTGGAAAAAACTTGAGCCCCTGCCCCTGTATAATCATGTGCACGTCCCTGTTCTAGCTCCAAGGTGAATCTTCACTGCTCATGTTCTCCTCAGAAATAGTCACCTCACTCCCCTCAGGTTACTGTACACATGCACCAACTATCTGCTTCAGGTTTGAAATGGAGCTTCATGGTTGTCTTTTGGAGAAATGAACAGTCAAGTTGTGTTTGAAATTTGATTTTTTTCAGGGGCAAAAGGAAGCCTCTGCATTCTTGTCAAATATGTAAACAGCATGTTTTTGCAGGTGCTAAAAAACAGACTCTGAGTGTGTGTGTGTGTCTGTGTGTGTGTGTGTGTGTGTGTGTGTGTGTGTGTGTATGTTGGCGTGTGTGTATATGTGTGTGTATCCTGCAGTACTCTGTACTCCTGCAGTGGCCAAAAAGACTTTAAAGAATGTGGATTTTTGGGTCATCTTTGGCGCCCCCTAGAACTGCAGTACTCTGTACTCCTGCAGTGGCCAAAATGACTTTTAAGAATGTGGATTTTTGGGTCATCTTTGGCGCCCCCTAGAACGTAAACCGTGGGGTGCAGCGTCATGATTTTTACAACTTTGAATGGGCATGGGGTGTAGATTGCCCTGAGCAAATTTGGTATCGGTGGGACGAAAGCCTTAGGAGGAGATAGCCACATTCCAATGTGTGCGAATCGGCAAAAAATGCAAAATAGCCCTTTAACCGTACATTATACAGATACGCGCTCTTTGACTTTTTCGTAGATCTAATTGAGATACACATGATTGTCAATTTTTGTGTCAATATGACAAAGCGTTCAGGCGTGACACTCAACAATGTGTATTTTCATGTAAGGGGACAAGAAAAAATTGACTTTTTTCTCCTACCATGGGGGGCGCTCTTTTGGGGAGTAAAAATTCCTTCACAAATGTGTTGATGGCTGGACATTGCATCATCCTAGAAAACTTGGAGGCCAGTGAGGACAAAAATAAAAAGTTATAAAACATTTAAGAATGTGGATTTTTGGGTTATTTTTGGCGCCCCCTAGAACCTAAACCATGGGGTGCAGCATCATGATTTGAATAACTTTTAATGGGCATGGGGTGTAGATTGGCCTGAGCAAATGTGGTGCCAATGGAACGAAAGCCTTCGGAGGAGTTAGCGAAATTCCAATGTGTGCGGATCGGCAAAAAATGCGAAATAACCCTTTAACCGTAATTTTGACAGATACGCGTGCATGGACTTTTTTGTAGATCTTATTGAGTTACATGTGTGTGTCAATTTTTGTGTCATTTTGACAAAGCGTATAGGCGTGACACTCAACAATGTGTATTTTCACCTTAGGGGACAAGAAAAAATGGACTTTTTTCTCCTGCCATGGGGAGGCGCTCTTTTGGGGAGTAAAAATTCCTTCACAAATGTGTTGATGGCTGGACATTGCATCATCCTAGAAAACTTGGAGGCCAGTGAGGACAAAAATAAAAAGTTATAAGACTTTTAAATATGTGGATTTTAGTGTTATCTTTGGCGCCCCCTAGAACCTAAACCTTGGGGTGCAGCGTCATGATTTTGATAACTTTTAATGGCCACGGGGTGTAGATTGGCCTGAGCAAATGTGGTGCCGGTGGAACGAAAGCCTTCGGAGGAGTTAGCGAAATTCCAATGTGTGCGGATCGGCAAAAAATGCAAAATAACCCTTTAACCGTCATTTTGACAGATACGGCCGCACTGACTTTTTTGTAGATCTTATTGAGATACATGTGTGTGTCAATTTTTGTGTCATTTTGACAAAGCGTACAGGCGTGACAGTCAATAGTGTGAATTTCCACCTTAGGGGGCGCTATGGAGCCATTTTGCATTTTATTGTTTTGGCGACTTCAGAATATCGAATTTTTTACCAGGCCCGGTCGTCCTGCCAAATTTCATGAGTTTTCGCCAGTGGGAAGTGGGCCATTTTCCAGTTCAAAGGGGAGGAAAAAGAAGAAAGAAAGAAACAAAGAAAAACCCCTACAGGAATAACAGGGCCTACGCCCGGCTGCTCTGCAGCTGGCTCGGGCCCTAACTAGGGCCCCGGTGGGGCACTGTCGGGCCCGAGCCGCGTTGCGCCGCCCCCAGCGCGACCGCCTCCCCCTCCTGATCGCGTCACACTCAAGGTCCAAAGATGGTGTGCGCACTTGTCTGTGGTCATTTCCCATTATAATGAATGGGAGGCGCAGTTTCTACCAAAACACTCGCTGCAGACAAACTACATGTCCTATTTGAAAAAAGTCTGGACCATGAGTGAGGGCACAAACACAGCTAGGATATATCCAAACGGCAAGTTGCTCCTCGTTACGGTGTTGCCGGGAGAGTGATGCGATTGAGCCATTGAGTGATGGGCAGGAAAAACTTGACTGTTTCTCCTGCCATGGGGGTTGGGGGATGGGGGGGGGGGGGGGGGGGGGATGTGGATTCTTTTAAGAATTTGGATATTTGGGTCATCTTTGGCGCCCCCTAGAACGTAAACCGTGGGGTGCAGCGTCATGATTTTTACAACTTTGAATGGCCATGGGGTGTAGATTGGCCTGAGCAAATTTGGTGTCAGTGGGACGAAAGCCTTAGGAGGAGTTAGCTACATTCCAATGTGTGCGAATCGGCAAAAAATGCAAAATAGCCCTTTAACCGTACATTTTACAGATACGCGCGCATTGACTTTTTCGTAGATCTAATTGAGATACATGTGATTGTCAAATTTTGTGTCAATATGACAAAGCGTACAGGTATGACAGTCAACAATGTGTTTTTTCATCTTATGGGACAAGAAAAAATTGACTTTTTTCTCCTGCCATGGGGGGGCGCTCTTTTGGGGAGTAAAAATTCCTTCACAAATGTGTTGATGGCTGGACATTGCATCATCCTAGAAAACTTGGAGGGCAGTGAGGACAAAAATAAAAAGTTATAAGACTTTTAAGAATGTGGATTTTGGGTTATCTTTGGCGCCCCCTAGAACGTAAACCGTGGGGTGCAGCGTCATGATTTGTACAACTTTTAATGGCCATGGGGGGTAGATTGGCCTGCGCAAATGTGGTGCCGGTCGAACGAAAGCCTTCGGAGGAGTTAGCGAAATTCCAATGTGTGCAGATCTGCAAAAAATGCAAAATAACCCATTAACCGTACATTTGACAGATACGCCCGCACTGACTTTTTTGTAGATCTTATTGAGATACATGTGTGTGTCAATTTTTGTGTCAATATGACAAAGCGTACAGCCGTCATGTGAATTTTCACCTTAGGGGGCGCTATGGAGCCATTTTGCATTTTATTGTTTGGGCGACTTCAGAATATCGAATTTTTCACCAGGCCCGGTCGTCCTGCCAAATTTCCTGAGTTTTCGCCAGTGGGAAGTGGGCCATTTTCCAGTTTAAAGCGGAGGAAAAATAATAACGAAAGAAGGAAACATGCAGGAACAAGAGGGCTCTCGCAGCTGCTTAGCAGCTACGCTCGGGCCCTAATAACAAAAGAAGAATCCATCAGGAACAAGAGGGCTCTCGCAGCTGCTTAGCAGCTACGCTCGGGCCCTAATAATAACAAAAGAAGGAAACTACAGGAACAAGAGGGCTCTCGCAGCTGCTTAGCAGCTACGCTCGGGCCCTAACTAGGACCCCGTTGGGGCACTGGCGGGCCCGAGCTGTGTCGCGTCCCCCCCCCAACGCGCTGCCTCCCCGTCCCATTTGTGTCCTCTGGCCATCGCCCTCTTTGGTAACGCCCATCACTGCAAAGACCCTTTTCCTTCATCGGCGTTTGCTGTTCTTCCTGCCAGTGCGTGTTGCTTTCACTTACACTTGCCACAGCCAGCCTCGTGAGTGCCTAGCCTATTGGATATCACTGTCACCTACACAGGACAGTCATTACCTTTCTATTAATACTTTGTTTTTTAATTTCACATTAATTTCCAAATTGTATAAACGACTGGAAAAAACTTGAGCCCCTGCCCCTGTATAATCATGTGCACGTCTCTGTTCTAGCTCTAAGGTAAATCTTCACTGCTCATGTTCTCCTCAGAAGCAGTCACCTCACTCCCCTCAGGTTACTGTACACATGCACCAACTGCCTGCTTCAGGTTTGGATGGAGCTTCATGGTTGTCTTTTGGAGAAATGACCAGTCAAGTTGTGTTTGAAATTTGATTTTTTTCAGGGGCAAAAGGAGCCTCTGCATTCTTGTCAAATATGTAAATAGCATGTTTTTGCAGGTGCTACAAACCAGACTCTGAGTGTGTGTGTGCGTGTGTGTGTGTGTGTCTGTGTGTGTGTGTGTGCGTTCAAGTCACATGACATATTTAACCGGATGTAGCTGCAAGACGGAGCCTCGTTGACTCTCCGTTTCAACTTATCTCAAAAGTGAGGACCTCAACCTATATACCAGTTTTTAAATTGTGTTGATAGGCCAAATAAAACCAGAGTTATGATAAATTATGTCCGCGATACTTTTTTTCTGCTTATTTTGATCACGTTCGGCGCTCGATCGCGCTGTATGAGACAGGAAAACATAGCATGCAGACATTAGCGACAGGTCTTACAGGCGGAAAAGGCTTGCCAAAGGAAAAAAAAATACACACCACAACATCTCTCCTATTGGTGGAAAACTTCACCACAACAACCAATCCAAAATTATATGGTGACTGATTGACAAGGGGCGGGAACTTACGTTCTTCCTGCAATATGAGAAGGGAGGGAGGGACTCTCAGCAGGGATGCAGTCTGGGACACGTAGTTGCAAACCTAGCGACTTTGTTGTTAGATTCAATGACTTTTCAGACCCCCTAACGACTTTTTTTTAGAAAGAAAGTGACTTTTATCGACTTCTTCTGGAGTTTAGAGACTCTGACATGAAGCAGGCTTTCCTTACTGAGGAGTTAGCAACGCTGCTAAGGGTGCAGAGCCACACATGCGCTCAGAGCTCTGCATGGGAGACTGAAGCTGACAGAGCTGCAGCAGTTAGCAGGTTTCACCCTCAGAGACCACCAGGGGTTCATGTTGAGGCATTTTAATTATTTTTTTTTTTTTGTGCCATAGACACTGTCAGCACAATCTGCAGTTACACTAACAAAAATGCTGCAAAAAACAAAGAATTATGGAAAAATTACACATGGACTGACATAGAGGAGGATCTACACAAGTTTTTTACATCATGTTTTACATCATGCATCATTTACATCATGTTTTTTTGTAGTGGCATAAATAAAAAGTGACATTTGTGAGACTATACAGTGTTTTGTAAATAATTTTACAAAGAACGCCTGGGCCATTGCCTGCATTTTGATGTAAATAGAGGTAAATTACTATGTTCTTTGTTAAAAATTTGCATATGTTTTGAAGTTTACAATTTTTATTTGAAGTTTAAGTTTTAAAAACAGTTCATCACACATATTTGTGGTTTAATTTCACATTAATTTCCATATTGTATAAATGACTGGAAAAAACTTGAGCCCCTGCCCCTGTATAATCATGTGCACGTCCCTGTTCTAGCTCCAAGGTGAATCTTCACTGCTCATGTTCTCCTCAGAAATAGTCACCTCACTCCCCTCAGGTTACTGTACACATGCACCAACTATCTGCTTCAGGTTTGGATGGAGCTTCATGGTTGTCTTTTGGAGAAATGAACAGTCAAGTTGTGTTTGAAATTTGATTTTTTTCAGGGGCAAAAGGAAGCCTCTGCATTCTTGTCAAATATGTAAACAGCATGTTTTTGCAGGTGCTAAAAAACAGACTCTGAGTGTGTGTGTGTGTGTGTGTGTGTGTGTGTGTGTGTGTGTGTGTGTGTGTGTGTGTGTGTGTATGTTGGCGTGTGTGTATATGTGTGTGTATCCTGCAGTACTCTGTACTCCTGCAGTGGCCAAAAAGACTTTTAAGAATGTGGATTTTTGGGTCATCTTTGGCGCCCCCTAGAACTGCAGTACTCTGTACTCCTGCAGTGGCCAAAATGACTTTTAAGAATGTGGATTTTTGGGTCATCTTTGGCGCCCCCTAGAACGTAAACCGTGGGGTGCAGCGTCATGATTTTTACAACTTTGAATGGGCATGGGGTGTAGATTGCCCTGAGCAAATTTGGTATCGGTGGGACTAAAGCCTTAGGAGGAGATAGCCACATTCCAATGTGTGCGAATCGGCAAAAAATGCAAAATAGCCCTTTAACCGTACATTATACAGATACGCGCTCTTTGACTTTTTCGTAGATCTAATTGAGATACACATGATTGTCAATTTTTGTGTCAATATGACATAGCGTTCAGGCGTGACACTCAACAATGTGTATTTTCATGTAAGGGGACAAGAAAAAATTGACTTTTTTCTCCTACCATGGGGGGGGCGCTCTTTTGGGGAGTAAAAATTCCTTCACAAATGTGTTGATGGCTGGACATTGCATCATCCTAGAAAACTTGGAGGCCAGTGAGGACAAAAAAAAAAAAGTTATAAAACATTTAAGAATGTGGATTTTTGGGTTATTTTTGGCGCCCCCTAGAACCTAAACCATGGGGTGCAGCATCATGATTTGAATAACTTTTAATGGCCATGGGGTGTAGATTGGCCTGAGCAAATGTGGTGCCGGTGGAACGAAAGCCTTCGGAGGAGTTAGCGAAATTCCAATGTGTGCGTATCGGCAAAAAATGCGGAATAACCCTTTAACCGTACATTTGACAGATACGCCCGCATTGACTTTTTTGTAGATCTTATTGAGATACATGTGTGTGTCAATTTTTGTGTCATTTTGCCAAAGCGTACAGGCGTGACACTCTACAATGTGTATTTTCACCTTAGGGGACAAGAAAAAATGGACTTTTTTCTCCTGCCATGGGGGGGCGCTCTTTTGGCGAGTAAAAATTCCTTCACAGATGTGTTGATGGCTGGACATTGCATCATCCTAGAAAACTTGGAGGCCAGTGAGGACAAAAATAAAAAGTTATAAGACTTTTAAATATGTGGATTTTAGGGTTATTTTTGGCGCCCCCTAGAACCTAAACCGTGGGGTGCAGCGTCATGATTTGAATAACTTTTAATGGCCATGGGGTGTAGATTGGCCTGAGCAAATGTGGTGCCGGTGGAACAAAAGCCTTCGGAGGA